TAGACTGTTGGTGAGTCGTGTTTGGACCCGTTTATACTTATGATTGGAATACATAATAGTGTACTAATTAGGGTTAGAGGAACAATGCAAATAAAGAAATAAATAAAGGGTTAAGGAAGGCGAATGAAAAATGAAACGAAGAGGAAGTAGATGATGGAAAGGTTTTGACCAATTCTTTTAGTTGAATGTCAATACAACAATCAACCCTTTTCACCATAGCATTTTATTGACACTTGCTTATGTAGATGTCACATATTTTGTTACATATAGTTAGTAGAAGTTTGTTTAGTACCCCGTAAATGTACTAAATGAGTTTATAAACTGGCTCTTTTAATATTTTAGAGTCGTCTCTCTTTTATCATTTATTTAATGATTCACGTAATGAGCAAATATAAAATGGTCGAATATGCTCCTACAGTTGAGTACAAACTAAATTTATACTTTTAGGTTATGGTGGATTGGATTCATGGATTGGTTCAAAAGGATTGGTGGATTGGATTCATGGATTCAAGTGAAATCTAAACATTGGACTGATATGTAAATTTTAAAAATTATAGGTACAAAAATCTCATAAAATTTAGGGGTTAATTGCAAGGTTGGTCAATGGGTTTACTAAAACCGTTCATGTTTGGTGGTTGAAAATATTTAATTCTATTCATGGTCACCAAGATTAGTTCTATAGTTCAAGTTTGATCACTCTCCGTTAGTTTTTGCTGATGTGGCAGTTAACTATTATGGTTGACCGTTAAATGAGTGACGTGACCATTAAAAATAATAAAATAATAAAATTTAAATATTTATAATTTCCCCCCTCGTTTATAAAAATTAAAAATAAAACTTAATTCCTAATACAAACTTGAATAATACCATTGCAAGTCGATTGATGGAGAGAATGAATATTTTTTATTTCAAATTTTATTTTTAAAATGTTAAATATTGTCACTTTGATGGTTAGACCTCTTTTCTCTCTCTCTCTCTTTTTTTTTCTTTTTCTTACCGCTTGATAAAATAATTAAGAAAGTTTTTAAGTTTTTTTACTTAAGACCAGAATGTTACCCACCATTAGTTCATCACTAACTTCATTAGGGTGATGTGAAGATTTTTCGTTATGGAGGCCATTAGTCCATCACTAACTTTCATTAGGGTGATGTGGGATTTTGATTTTCACTACCTGAGGAAAATCGAGGGATTCGAGCACAACATCTGCGATTACTTCGCCAGAAACGACGGCGGCAAAGGGGCGAAAGCTGCCCGGGAAGCTGGTGGAGAAACTCGAGAAATACATCCATCCTGAGCTATTTCACTTTCCACTGGAACCACGCCGCTTCGATCGTCTCTCGGGTAGGTTTCCAAATTAAATTATACTCCTCTGCATATTTATAAATTCTAATCAATTTGAATTCTTTTTCCAATTTTGTTGGACTAATTTATTTTTTCCGTTGCTCAAGTGATGAACGGTCGATCGGAAAAGAAGCTAAGTTCAAAAGCTTTCTAAAGGCCACCACCAGGTAGATGGGCATCTCCTGGGGGATGTATTTTCTCACGATGAGGAGATATAATACGACCCTAGGGGTGTATTTTTACCAAAGTAACGCAGCAAACGACTCAATCGAACAATCGATTGAGCTCGAATCAAGACGAAGCGCTCTTAATACGAACTTGGGATAAAACGGAACCAACAGACTATTCCACTCCTGGGGAAAGCTCGTATGGTATAAAAGGTTAGTTGCTCGACCATGATTGAAGTGACTATTCAATCGATACACAAGCTCAGCAATTTATTCTGTCTTCTTCAACGAGCTGGAACTCGAGCGCTTTCAACGACGGCTCCCCAATTGAAGTCGTGACTGCCTCAGCTCGGTCTTCCTCGTCTCGCAGCTGTGGTAGCAAGGTCGCCCTATGTTCAGCAGCTTCTTCTGGCGATAGAAGCTTGAGAGCGAAAAGCTTCCCACAATGTCGCATTCTGATGTGTTTTGTGCTTCTGCTACGTGGAGCTCCGCGATCGACGTGCCAAGAACTACCAAGCACCACATGAGTCATCTTCAGAGGCACCACGTCGCACTGAACATGATCCTTGTAGATTCCAATTCAAAAAGGTAAGATCACCTCATCTGTTACAATAACAGAGCTTCCTGTTTCCAGCAACGACGTCGAGTAAGGAGCTGGATGTTTTCGAATCGGCAGCCGCAATTTCGACACTGCTCGTGAGCTAATCATGTTTGATTTGCTCTCTTCATTGATGTACATAGAGCACACCTTCTCTCCCACCAAACAGCAAGTATATGACGTCAAATTCGCTTGTTCTAACTCACCCACCATGGCTGTCCTTTTTTTTCCCGACGACTTCTGCTTGTACAAATCATCACGTTTTCGCCTTCTTCTTCGCCCTTGTGTAGAACTAGGCTCTGATACCACTTAATACGCCCCTGGGGGTGTATGTTACGTAGCTAACAACTCAATCGAAGGATCGATTGAGCTTGAATCAAGAACAACAGCGCTCTTAATACGAACTCGAGAGAAACCGAAACCAACGGACAATTCCACTCCTGGGGAAAGCTCGTATGCTATAAAAGGGTAGTTGCTCGACCACGATTGAAGTGACTATTCAATCGATACACAAGCTCAGCAAGTTTGGAATCCACCAAACCCAAAACAAGTCGCAACTCGCACAAAACCAAAGGTTTTTTCGATTAATCAAAGTCTTCTGTCTTTACAACGTAAATAGAACGGTAGTTAAAGGCAAATAAAACCTAATACAATCCTAATAGAAATAGCCAACAATTAAGGTAAAATTCTACACTAAAAAGGACATAAAACTCGGGTTTAAACTCCCTTTCTTGAAGCACAAGTAAGCTGCCAGCAAAACAGTCAAAAGCAGCTTTCGTACTAATTTTACGCCTTTTGTTCGAGGCCTTCCAGAATTCCAATCCTTCATCCATTTCATTCCCTTGGTAGATAAACATTCCTACTTTCATGTTGTAGAAGCCTTTTGACTTGAGTCCCATCCATGCTTCTTGAATTGAGTTCCAAAGTAGGCTTCACAAAATAGTATTCTGTCTTGGTCATTTTCTGGCAGTTTTCCAGTTTTGAGGTAGCAACTTTGAGGCCTTGGAAAACAACCTTAATGACATCTTCTGGATCCAAAAAGCATACAATTGGCAACATGAGAACTATTTCTTCAAAACAAGCTCTTGATATCCCATTTTCATTGAGGCATTTTTGAGATACAAGCTTCCAAAGTATGCTACCTGAAGTTGATTAAACACTTAGCCAAAAATCAGAATTCTTCAAGTTAGTTGAGATGACTTCTTTGGCAAGTAATTGTGAATTCTGGATTGATCCAACTGGGATCATATTAGGCTCCCCCTCTTCAAAAAGCTTTGACCTCAAAACTTGTTCAGGACTTTTATCAAAATCGTTACAAAATTTATCCCAAATTGGATGGAAAGAATGCTGATCAAACACGATTTTCGCCATAAGTTTGACAGTTTCTACGATCTGTTTCAACGCCTTCATAGTTTTCCAAGACTCACCTGCCACACAAAAATTGACAAAATTTTGATCCAAATTGGATTGGGCAAACGTACGATTTCCGGCCAAAAATTTCCAGTTTCCGGCGCCGGCAAGGACTCCGGCGAGTTCTTGGAGATTGGGGATTTCTTCTGGGGGTCATCTTGATCAAATTCGTTTCTCCCAAGCGATGCACCTGGTCTCCATGAGTCGATCCCATCTTCTCCCGCACGTCCAACGCATCCAAATCATCTCCAATCACTATTTCTGTGTTTCCCTCCGTCGGAAAGTTTTAAATCCCCAGAATCCGGCGAGTTAATCCCAGATTCTGGCGAGCAAAAATTGACATTGGGGAATGGAGATTCTGACCGTTTCATACAAGTTTTTGTGCTCGCACACCATCCTTGTGAACACATAAATCGATCCCAAGTGTTGGCGTGCGTTGATTCATCTCCAAACTCCGAAACTGATTCTTTCTTCTTTTGCTCGTTACTCTGCGCTATTGGGGACGAGAAAACCAATTTGGGGATTTTCGATTCTCGGCTATCAGACCCCAATCGATTCACGCTACACGATTCTGCCGCATCATGTAGTATATTGACGCTATTAGTTTCATTCTGCGTGACCGCGATTGCTCTCCCTATTTCACTCTCTCTCCTCCCTTGCGCGTCCGTCGAAGAGCAGAGGGACTCCTCTCCTTCGGACTGCTCTTCTTAAACGAGATGGAACTCGAGCGCCTTCAATGACGGCTCCCCAATTGAAGTCGCGTCTGCCTCAGCTCGGTCTTCATCGTCTCGCAGCTGTAGTAGCAAGGTCGCCCTATCTTCAGCAGTTTCTTTTGGCGACAGAAGCTTGAGAGCGAAAAGCTTCCCACAATGCCGCATTCTGATGTGTTTTGTGCTTCTGCTGCGTCGAGCTTCGCGATAGACGTGCCAAGGACCACCAAGCACAACATGAGTCATCTTCAGAGGCACCACGTCGCACCGAACCTCATCCTCGTAGATTCCAATTCGAAAAGGTAATATCACCTCCTCTGTTACAAAAACAGAGCTTCCTATTTCCAGCAACGACGTCGAGTAAGGAGCTGGATGTTTTTGAATAAGCATCCCCAATTTCGACACTGCTCGTGAGCTAATCTTGTTTGATTTGCTCTCTTCATTGATGTACATAGTGAACACCTTCTCTCCCACCAAACAGCGAGTATATGACGTCAGATTCGCTTGTTCTATCTCACCCACCATGGTTGTCCTGTTATTTTCGACGACTTCTGCTTGTACGAATCATCACGTTTTTGCCTTCTTCTTCGCCCTTGTGTAGAACCAAGCTCTGATACCACTTAATAATACCATGGGGAGCAGGGGAGTTTCCCTCTTCTTGGGGAACTCGGACTCTGTCATCTATAAATTGGCTTCTCCCCCCGCTGCAGCACTTCTGTGTACTGCTCGGCGTCTTGTGCTTTCTAGAGAAGAGAGAAGAGGAACTCCCCCCGATCAGCAGCAGTGCGCTCCGATCCGACATCCAGGTACTGGGCTCGATCCCCAAACCCCTCCTCCGTGCTTTGAATCGAGGGAGCTTTTTACCCTCGTCTTGGCGGCAGTCCTCTCTCCTTCGTGCAGTTCAAGGCAATCTGCTGTGCTAGCCACCACGCCGCCTGAGACCAAGTCGCGAAATATCGGCCTGTTTCCGTCGGATTTAGAGGCTGCCAGCGCCGGCCTGGTGCCGCAAGATTTTCTAGCTGCCGATTTGTTGGTGGCCAGCATACCAAATTTATTACCGCCTTGTATAGTAACTAGGCTGGTTGCGGCCAACCCCGTTGCATATAATATTTTAACTATCCCCTTGTGTCAGGTGAATACGATGGCGTGTATAGCGGAGGATAAAGTGGTTGAATTTTCACTCGAAGAAGTCCTATCGGTGAAGTTTCGAACTTCGAGGACTCTTTTGGGGAGATTATTTTCGGAAACCAAATTCACTCCTAGTGAGTTGAGGGATGGCTTGCTAGAGGCATGGCGGGTGCAAGGAAACCTTAGGGTTTCGGTCACTAAGTTTGACATATTTGAAATTTTTCTTCCAAGTGATGAGATGAGGGTTTTGCTTCTAGAAAGATCTCCATGGATCGTTAAGGACAGGATTTTCCACCTCCGGTCCTAGACGCCCTCTATCACAAGGCCTATTTGTAATGATTTTGCCATTGCTCCCTTTCGTGTTCAACTATGGAATGTGAAAGAAGACTGTTGCACGAAGCAGTTTGGCCGGAAAGTGGCAGTTGGGACTATTGGTCAAATCTTGGAGGATGATGTCTTTGCATCCAAAGACATCGATGAGTGCTTTGTAAAAGTGGATGCTCTCATTGATTTTACCAAACCATTGTGGTCTAAATTCATGGCGGTTAGTGAAGAGCTCGACAGCTTCTGGGTAAATCTCAAGTATGAATTTTTACCGACCTTCTGCTACCATTATGGCCGCGTGGGGCACTCGAAACGAGAATGTGTTTTTGCTCGACCACCGGGTAAAGGACGTTTTGGCTGAGGAACGGCCAACGACTATGGGCTATTAAATGGGTCCACGGGCGGCGGATATCCAATTTCCTATCTTACATCCACCCGTGTCCGCCAAAAACTTTGAGATCAAGCCCTCTCTCGTGACGATGATTTAACAAAATGCATACTTCCACAGGATATCCTATGAATCACCACGACAACATGTCCAAAGCTTTCTTGAGCTAGCGGGAAGCTTGAAGTTTAATGGCGTCCCCGAGGAGGCATTGAGATTGAAGCTTTTCCCCTATTCTTTGGCGGGGAAGGCACTCCGATGGCTCAACAACTGTCCGGCTCTATCCATCACCTCTTGGGATGATCTCCTCAACAAGTTCATGACCCGATACTGTCCTCCTTCCAAGAAGGCCGAGTGGAGGAAGAAGATCACTCACTTTGAGCAAGAGGAGGATGAGACATTTAGGAATGCATAGGAAAGGTTCTCCGAATACTTTCTCCAATGCCCTCACCATGGATTCGAGGAGCGATTTCGGATAGAAACTTTCTATGGAGGACTCATTCGAGTTGACAGGATCCTCATTGACTCTCTATGCGAAGGGAGGTTGATAAACATGACCCCTCCTCAAGTGACCGAATTGCTTGAAGATATGGCTCTCAAAGGATATGATTGGGGCTTGACAAGTAGTGGGAAGAGAAGCAATGAAAGAGGAGTAAGAAGTGGGGGAGCAAGCGAGTTTCATTTCCAATGCTTGAGGGAACAACCCTTACAGCAACACATACAACCCTAGGTGGCGTAATCATTCAAACTTCGCTTGGTCTTCCCCTACCAATCCAAGACCTCCCGGCTTCCAAGGTCCAAATGGAAACTACCAACTTCGGCCAACATTCATCCAACAAAGGACTCAATTAAAAAACTCGAACTTCCAACAACTATACCAAGCACAAGGTGGTCAAGGGTTTCAACAACCACAACAAGGTGACAAGCTCTCTAAACTCGAAGACCTTGTTAACACCTTTATGAGTACAAGCTCTCAGAAGTTCGAGAAGATTGAGCAATTCATGGATGTGGCAACATCCAAGTTTACCTCGGTTGAGGCGGTACTCCGTAGCCATCATGCAAGTCTCCAAAACTTGGAAGTGAAATTTAGCGATCTTGGTGGGATCCTCACCGAGACACCAAAGGGAGCCCTACCCTCTCAAACCATTGCCAACCCCAAAGATTAAGCCGGGTGCAATGCGATTTACTTGAGGAGCGAGAAGGTGACCCCGGAGGTTGTTGCCCAAGAAGTAAATGAGAAGGAAGACCCTCTACCCGAGGGTGAAAAAGAGGAAACCTCAGGGGCAAAAGAGAGGAATGGCAAGGAAGGCATTGTCGTCGCCATTTCATGTGGCTGAGTACATGCCACCCCTACCTTTTCCCTCGAGGGTGCACAAGGAAAGATTGGAAGCGGAATGTGGAGGCTTCATGCGGATGCTCTCAGAGCTCCACCTCAACATACCCTTCCTCGAAGAAATGGCCCACATGCCAAGATACTTAAAGTACCTCAAGGGGCTTCTAGCCAAGATGCCAAAGGGTGAAGACCTCGCCAATGTCACCCTAGGCGAGGAGTGCTCAGCCTTCATCCTGAACAGGTTGCCCAAGAAGCAACCCGATCCAGGTAGTTTCACCATACCTCTTTGCATCGGTACTCATCACATAGAGAACTCCTTGGCGGACTTAGGGGCGAGCATAAATGTGATGCCATTTAAGCTTTTTAAGAAGCTAGACATAGGTGAATTAAAGACCACAAGCCTTAGTGTCACATTATCGGATCGCTCTGTCATTAGTCCTATGGGCATAGTGGAGGATGTACTAGTACGATTTGTCAAATTCTGTTATCCCACGGATTTTTTGATCCTAGATATAAGTGAGGATATGCCACTCATACTAGGACGACCCTTCCTAGCCACCACCAAGGCATTAATAGATGTAAATGAGGGAACTTTGATTCTAAGAGACGATGAGGAGAGAATTAACCTAGGGATTGATCCTAAGCCTAGGAGTGAGGAGGTGAAAAAAGTGGAATCAAATGGCATGGTTGTTAGTAGAGTCGAGCCTCTCAAGGCAAACCCCTCTAGTTTGTTTGTTCCATGTGATGTGAAGCAGGACAAGGTGTCGGGTACTAATACCGGTATGAAGAAGAAGAGCGCATGGCATGCTAAGTGGGAGAATGCAATCAAGAAGAGGAAAGAAAAGTGAAAAGGGAAGTTGGCCAATTGAGGAAACCACTCGTTGGTAAAGGACAAAGGCAAGGCAAAGATGCCCGGCCAAGAAGGCCATGCGATGGAGCTTAAGTTGGGAGGCGACATGCCTCGCCCTGAGAACGTGGCGGATCCACTCTCGGTAGCATCATGTTCCAAAACATGATAGATCCGCAACGTCAAGCTAGTGACGTTAACTTAGCGCTTGTTGGAAGGCAACCCAACGTAGGTTTGTTTTCTTTTCCTTATTTTCGTTTTTGTGTGTCGAGTGAAGAGTTCTAGTGGTCGAGTGGTATCCTCGTGCCACGTTTTGTGGGTGTGCATTTAAGGTCGTGTCGTGATCGATAGAAGGCACGGTGGATTAGGTCGAGTCAACAAAAATTCAGAAGTGCCCTGTTTTAACTGATGTTCTTGGACGGATTGCCAAGTTCACGGTCTTACACGACCGTGAACAGGCAAATGCGTCCGTGAACAAGGCACTTCCACGAGCGTGCCAGTTATCGACACCCACTGTTCATGGTTGCATTGCTATGTTCATGGTATTAACGACCGTGAACTGGCAAACGCGTCCTTGAACCGCTAGTGTCGTCGATAAAAGGGGCTTGAACGTTGACCGTTCACTTCACGACCCAAAAATCGCCGAAAAATTCAAATCTCGCCGGAAAACCACAAATCTCCGATGGTTTTCAGTCATTTCACCCACTTCCGGCGAGCAAAAACCCAAAACAAACCACAGACCCATTCTTCCCTCATCAAAGGCTGTCGTCGTCTAGATTTTGGGTGGATTTGGAGCAAAAAGAATTCCAGCGATGTTGCCGCCGGTGAGCCTCCGACGAGAGTCCGGCGACCCTTCTAAAGGTTGTTTTCAGCCGTATTTTGCCTTCCCCGCCCTCACCTCACTTCCTCCTACGTCATACTTGTGTCTCTTGGTTGGTTTTTCAGCTCTACCTTATTCATTTTGAGAGAATTAGATTAGGTAGTGAAGTGAGGAGATTTTAGTGCCTTGAATGTTGAACTTAGAATTATGGCAAGGAATTAGGTGAATTAGGATGATTGAATGGATGATTGACTTTGCATGAGCTTAGTTGAGCCTTGGTGGGCATTTGTTGATTCGAATTGCTTTTATTTGAAGATTTTGCCCACCAAGTGCTAATTTGTGAATGAATGTGCATTTTTATGCTTGAATGGTGGATGGTAGCCACCGTGGCATGGGTTGGACTTCAAACTTTTGTGTAGATGAACTATGAAATACCCACAACCATGGCACGGTGTGTTGAGTTTAAATGTTTGAAATCCATAGTGGAGATATAAGTATGGGGGGAATTTCTTTTTCCTCCCAATGAGTTGTGCTTAAGAAATGTTTCCACGTATGGTGTTTGTTTGCCAAATTTTGCAGGATGCTTAACAAGGAGTGTAACACCCTACCCTATATGTTTTGCCTAATCATACTGTTCATACAACTGCAGCGGAATTAATCTCGGGTGTTACAATAATTATCAAAATTTACCTAAATAAAATTTCGACATGAATTACTCGCGTAATGGGCTAACAGTTCTTGCAACTTATCCTGCAAAATAATTCATCACAAACATATATACTCACAACCATATGCATTGGCTTTCATAGCCATAGTTACAGTTTTCATATTCCACAACTGCATACCATACTTATACATACTATAATCGTCACAACTTACACAGTTACACAACATATACACATATCAACAACTTTCCACACCCGTGGATATCTCACACTACATCAGAAGCTAGTATGCTCATGAAAAACGTTCTCAAAACATTTTTACAAAAAGGTGTGGATCACTGGCCAAAATCCCGAGTAGTAGTCCAAGCACAGAATAGTTGAAGACCATACCTCATCCTACCTTCAACTCTTGCTCAGCTCTCACCTATACACCTATCTACTGCTGCTGCTGATGATCTGCTTACACATAGCATAAGCAGAGAAGAAGGAATAAAAGAGGGTCAGCTCATAGCTGAGTGAGATAATCATAGCATCGTGAGTTC